TCTCCATGACGAGGAGGGAGTAGTTCTCCCTCGGGGCTGAGGGTATGTACCCGTAGCTATGTGTTTGATCTCTCTCTCTCTCTCTCTCTCTCGTGTTCTTGAGATGATACGATCTTGATGTATCGCGAGCTTTGCTATTATATTTGGATCCTATGATGTTTCTTCCCCCCTCTTCTCTCTTGTAATGAATCGAGTTTCCCCTTTGAAGTAATCTTATCAAATTGAGTCTTTAAAGACTTGAGAACACTTGATGTATGTCTTGCCGTGGATATTTGTGGTGACAATGGGATACCACGTGCCACTTGATGTATGTTAAGGTGACCAACTTGCGGGTTTCGTGACATTGGGAACCTATACATAGGGGTTGGCACACGTTTTCGTCGTGATTCTCCGGTAGAACTTTGGGGCACTCTTTGAGGTCCTTTGTGTTGGTTGAATAGATAAATCTGAGATTGTGTGATGCATATCGTATAATCATACCCACGGATACTTGAGGTGACAATGGAGTATCTAGGTGACATTAGGGTTTTGGTTGATTTGTGTCTTAAGGTGTTATTCTAGTACGAACTCTAGGGTTGTTTGTGACACTTATAGGAATAGCCCAACGGATTGATTGGAAAGAATAACTTTGAGGTGGTTTCGTACCCTACCATAATCTCTTCGTTCATTCTCCGCTATTAGTGACTTTGGAGTGACTCTTTGTTGCATGTTCAGGGATAGTTATGTGATCCAATTATGTTAGTATTGTTGAGGGAACTTACACTAGCGAAAGTATGAACCCTAGGCCTTGTTTCCTAGCATTGCAATACCATTTACGCTCACTTTTATCACTTGCTACCTTTCTGTTTTTATAATTTCAGATTACAAATACTATTATCTACTATCCATATACCACTTGTATCACCATCTCTTCGCCGAACTAGTGCACCTATACAATTTACCATTGTATTGAGTGTGTTGGGGACACAAGACTCTTTGTTATTTGGTTGCCGGGTTGCTCGAGAGAGACCATCTTCATCCTATGCCTCCCACGGATTGATAAACCTTAGGTCATCCACTTGAGGGAAATTTGCTACTGTCCTACAAACCTCTGCACTTGGAGGCCCAACAATGTCTACAAGAAGAAGGTTGTGTAGTAGACATCAGATTCATACTTTCACTAGTGCAAGTTCCCTCAACAATAATAACATAATTGGATTATATAACTATCCCTCAACATGCAACAAAGAGTCACTCCAAAGTCACTAATAGCGGAGAACAAACGAAGAGATTGTAGTAGGGTACGAAACCACCTCAAAGTTATCCTTTCTGATCGATCTATTCAAGAGTCCGTAGTAAAATAACATGAAGCTATTATTTCCGTTCAATCTATCATAGAGTTCGTACTAGAATAACACCTTAAGACACAAATCAACCAAAACCCTAATGTCACATAGATATTCCAATGTCTCCTCAAGTATCCGTGGGTATGATTATACGATATGCATCACACAATCTCAGATTCATCTATTCAACCAACACAAAGAACTTCAAAGAGTGCCCCAAAGTTTCTACCGGAAAGTCAAGACGAAAACGTGTGCCAACCCCTATGCATAAGTTCACGAGGTCACGGAACTCACAAGTTGATCACCAAAACATACATCAAGTGGATCACATGATATCCCATTGTCACCACAGATAAGCACGTGCAAGACATACATCAAGTGTTCTCAAATCCTTAAAGACTCAATCCGATAAGATAACTTCAAAGGAAAACTCAATCCATTACAAGAGAGTGGAGGGGGAGAAACATCATAAGATCCAACTATAATAGCAAAGCTCGCGATACATCAAGATCGTACCATCTCAAGAACACGAGAGAGAGAGAGAGAGAGAGAGAGAGAGAGAGAGAGAGAGATCAAACACATAGCTACTGGTACATACCCTCAGCCCCGAGGGGGAACTACTCCCTCCTCGTCATGGAGAGCGCCGGGATGATGAAGATGGACACCGGAGAGGGATTCCACCCTCCGGCAGGGTGCCGGAACAGGTCTGCATTGGCTTTCGGTGGCTACAGAGGCTTCTGACGGCGAAACTCCTGATCTATTCTGCTCCCCGATGTTTTTAGGGTGTATTGATATATATATATATATATATATATATATATAGGCAAAAGAAGTCGGTCAGGGGAGCCACGAGGGGCCCACGAGGGTGGGGGGCGCGCCTCCCTGCCTCGTGGCCACCTCGAAGCTTCCCTGACGTCTACTCCAAGTCTCCTGGATTGCTTCCGTTCCAAAAATAACTCTCCCGAAGGCTTCATTCCGTTTGGACTCCGTTTGATATTCCTTTTTTGCGAAACACTGAAATAGGCAAAAAAACAGCAATTTGGGTTGGGCCTTCGGTTAATAGGTTAGTCCCAAAAATAACATAAAAGTGTAAAATAAAGCCCATTATCATCCAAAACAGATAATATAATAGCATGAAACAATCAAAAATTATAGATACATTGGAGACATATCATCTAGCTGGTCGACACTAAGAGTTAGAGTAGGCTTCTTAGGCGGCACACCAATGTGAATGCGGTTAGGCGGTGAACCTATCAGCAACATCAATGCGAAGGGTTCTAAAGCCGAAGACAATTTGTGGATGGGACCGATTTGTCCAACGTCGACATGACGGATGTCTGATTTCCCCCAAAGCTCCTCCGGTTTAAGGCCGGGCCAAGGGATTTAGAACGTCCGAATTGGTTCGGCCGATATTTTACATCCGGGTTGGACAGCTAAAAGTGTTCATATTTTTTGGTCTGAACATTTGCGGACATTTCAATAATTCGCGTTGGAGATGCACGAAACACACCACGAGGTAATGCTGGATAGTTGACACCTTAAGGGCATGGCCAACGGTATGCTTCAAACCTACTGGCCCACTGTCTAACTTGGCTTGGATGCCAGGTGGAGCTCGCATAGTAGCCTTGGAGTGTTTCAGAGTAGTTTGCAGAGGAGGCCGCTGCTCTATGGGAGAAAGAAGAAAAGGAGAAGAGAAAGGGGGGAAATGAGGTGAAAGATGGCGCTGGGTGTTAGGGGGGTGGGGCGGGTAGAAGATGATCGACCATTGTAATGATAGCCTCAGTTTTGGGCGTTGGGTGAGAAAAACTCAAACCGATGCCCCATTCTTTTTCTACCTAGCTGGATGGGCCGGGGCATCACTTGGTGCTGCCTGCATGGTACATGTTGTAATCGTGACAGATAGCATCAGGCAGCATGAGTACTGAGACATCAACGATGGTGTCACTTTTTTGGGGAAAATAATCCATGGAGTCTCATCCCTTGCCATCGCTGAAAAATAAATTGCGGGCTTCATATATATAAGGCCGTATGCAAATCTCAGTATATAGAATCATGGGCCGAGGACGACACGAGGTCAGGTCTTAATCGTTTAAAAAAGTTTGTTAATAAAGCCTAAACAACCCATTATTTTTTTGGAAATGGAAACAACCCATTAATTAGAGTGTGTATTTGGTTGTAGTCCTGGGGCACATTGACCTGACCTGACCTGAGACATGCATGGACGTTGTTTGCTTGGCAACCAAGAATATCGAGCACGCCGCTGGCCTGGAGGTCACATGCATCTTTGCCTGGTATGCGTGTTGCATGTGAACTAGACACACCCAAATGTAAAAAAAAATTATGTGATTAGCGATCTCGAATATTAGAATCTCCACACAGTATATTGACGAATTTTGGCATATTGCCACCACGAGTAAATACTAGTAGTAGAATGGACAATGTGCTTGCGGCGTTGCTCAAATTGTAAATAGCGCACATATATCTTTTAGCAAGCACTAGAAGTACTAAATATTTTATGAACTTCGTAATAATATTCATCTGCCATGATTTAGAGCAATAATTCACCCTTCTTCTTTTTGACGATGGAATTCATTCTTCTCAGATAGAATGATGTTATCAAGAACACACCTCGTTCCTTGTTCTGTCCGGTATTATGTAGTGAGAGTGCCAAATCTTTGCGTGCAAACCAAAGAATGAGAAGTCCAAATACTTGGATTTACCATTTCATTGTGCTTCTGTGACAAACACACAATAAGGCAGAGAACACTGTCATAGATATATCAACATACAAATACTCCGTATATTCTCATACAGCCGCCCATAATACATGGAGGGAACAAAAGACCAGACATGCTGTTTCTAGACTTTTCTTCGTAGATAAAAATCATGGATACCTAGTTATGAGTTTCACAAAGAACTTGCGCAAGCTGATGACCACTAATGTTGCCAAAGTAGACAATCATCGATATGTGTAATACAACCCATCAACTGTCCAACTTGATTCGGACAAATTGCGCGATTACTGTAGTCATGGCTCATGAACGGTTTGGCCACCATATTTTTGCCCCGATCATTTACTTCAAATCTGCACTGCAATTAAGCAAAAATGGATGCTTTACGCATGAGTGATTGTCACATCAATGAGGCGGAACTAATTAAATCTAGCCCTAGTTCACTATAACTCCAGTTTGGTCACGTACATTTGGAGTTGGGAGCTTTAAACGAACAAAAATAATTACCAAATATTATCTCCTCAAGAACTATAGAGTTGGTAGTCTTTATTAGAGTGTGTGTTTAGCAGCTTAAGTAGCTAAATTGTGCTTATGCAATGGCTTAGTGGCATTGCTTTTAGATACCAGAAAAGTGTAAATTATAGCCTCTATACATTACATTGATGTGGGCTCATTGGAGGTACAAAATTGATAACTGTCACATAATGATTTACTTTGTTCTGATTTCTGAACCTTTGGGTCGCCAAACTAGCTTAGATGTAGGTGCACATTTTTTTCAGGAGTGAAGGAAGTATCATGCAGGTCAACAAACTTGTGGCTATATGCACCTGGAATTGATAATTGCATATTTGGATACCTCAAACTATATACATAGTTGGATACCGTGGCAGGCCGAAGGAAAAGGGTAATACCTTGGGAAGCTGAGATTTAGGGCAGATGACTTTCACACTGTACAGGCATAGTTCGCACTAATGGTGATCATATCATCAAGGGCAAGATCAATTTGATCCAGTACCTCACGTAGCTGCTTGGACAACTCCCAACCAGATCGAATGAAAATAATATTTCTTTTCTGACACTCCATGACGAGTGTGCGAGCAATGCAAAAGGTCGTATGGAGCTTCTCTATTGAAGCACTCATGGATGGGTCCTTCATTAGTTCTGTATTCCCGAACTGTGAAAGGAGGGCATTGACACCATTCACACGCTTATCAACTTCAATGCACTCTTCCTTGTTCCTCTGGACTCTGTCCACCGCTACCTTGATTTCCACCGCAATTTCAGAAATAGTAGGTGGCACGCTTCGTGTTTGTTTGACCTTCACAATAATGCCATATGTTATTATTAATAGGATTAAGTGGTAGAGATAAACTAATCGAATTTATAAAACACTAAGGGGTTCATTCAATACCATCTAAGCTTCATTTGGTAGGATATTTAGATTATTTAGATCAGTAGGCCCAAGGAAACTATTAAAAATATATGCACTTTAGGTGGATGTGGGTAGTCTATACAAGATAAAAATGATCTCATAACAGATTGACACAAGATACATAAATCATTCCAAAATATTTCAAGTGAAAATTTCAAACATGGTAAAATAAATATGACAGACTCATATGTTACAAGTTTGTGGATAGGATGATATAATTTAGCAACTATTCATAAAGCTTAATTTGTATGTGTGATGTTGAATGCATGGATCAAAATTATAGTTGAAACTTTTTGACTAAATGATAGTTTACCACATAAAATACTTGTCGTGATACTGCTTACCCATTTGGAAATTGTCACATTTTTTCCCTTTTACATTTGTGACATCAATTACGCCTTTTTAATAACAAAAGAGGTGTAATTTAGTGTCACAAATGTAAAGTTATGGGTAAATTTTTGCCAAAATATATGAAACAGAATAAGTTCTATCAAACGGGGTAAGCAATGTCAAAAATGTGAAGTTGATGGGGTAAAATTCGATGAAATATTTATGAAGTTGGCAAGCAATGTCACGAAAAGTATTTTAGGGGGTAAAACTGTCATTTACTCAAAATTTGTGAGTTGATGAATCTCATGCCAATATTGTCTTGATGTGTTCTTTCAAAAAGTTATAGGTTTTATAGTTATTGATACTAAGCAACCAGGGCCTGCAAGCTTAGAATCACATGACCAAAAAGTCTATATTTCTGAAGAGTAAAATTTTAAGAATGTACAAAAGATCCACCCAGTAATACCAATTGCAGCGAACGGCCATGTTCATCCGGTGCTTGGTAGAGTTTCTGTTAGACAATTAAAATCCATCAGTTATATATGCATTATTCATGATTACATCAAAAGAAACACCACTAAAAAGATTATGTACTATGCATGGAGAAATTAAACGTACAAGTGGCTTGGTGGTGTGCGGCGCAATGCAGAGCATGATGGTAAGCGACACCTCAGAGTTTATATTAGATATGGTCTGGTCTGCCTTGTTCAGCTTCTTGGACACCTCCCCAGCCTTTATGAGGAGACAACACAGATTAGTCTCTTCCTTGCAGCCTGTGACGAGCTCGAGGGCCTCGGTGAGGACCTCACGCAACGCCTCCAGTGCAGTGCGGCTCCCCGCGGAGTTCATCAGCTCCACATCCTGTTGGAACAGAGTGAGCGTGTGTTGGACCCTCTCCACACGCTTCTTGATCTGTTCACAATCCTTTTCGTTTTGTTTAACTGTATCCACAGCCTCTTTGATCTTGAACACAATATCGAGAGCCTTTGTCACGCTGCCCAGTGCATCAGCCATCCTGCCTAATTGATTGTAGAACAAATCAGCTGATTAAGTAAAATTAGAAGTGGTAGACAAGATGATGAGCAGGGCATTGACGTACCTTGTTATTGTCTCCTTTTACCACCTGACGGGAGGCAGGGAGCTCTTCCGCTCTTTCTTCCTCTAAGCTTGTAACTGGTGACTCCAGTCTTGTGTTTGCTCAGAAGCAAATCCCTGGCCCTATTAATAATCATGTCATTAAGATGCCTCCCGGTCCAAAATGTTCCTTCAATCATGCAAGCAGCTGTAAAAGTGTGATGCATTGATGCTCTCATGCCAAACTGCAGGAGAATAATAACATCGCTCGAATCAAGTACCTCCTATGATTGCGCATATATGCTATGATAAAGAGACAAGGAGATACGTTCACGATTTCCAGTACATTCTTTCACAAAAGTAACATCTTTTTTTTCAATATAAGCAGGATAAGTCATGCGTATACATCACATTTATGCTAATAAAATGCTCGCACAGATAGGCCTCACCCGTAGTGACAACGTCTGCTAAGTACTGGCCATGTTCCAAGGCATAGCTTGCTTATCCTCTTGAACCTTTGATTAGGTGGAAGGGTAAGGCCGCCAGTATTTCGAGACTCCGGTGGGGACGGTGTTTTGGTTCCTGGTCTCACATTCACATACACCTAGGATTAACAGTAAATATAAAGTCTATACTTTTTTGGGACAAATATGGTTGAGTGTTCTACTTATGTGCAATATTTTGTGATGAAATGAGATTCATATATAGTGCTCTGGAAAAAATCCACAAAATTTTACACGTAGGTAGAACACTCGCTGGATATGTTCCTCGCCATTCAGTCTTTTTCAAAATTATTGTGGTATTTTTTAAATTTTGATGTTCACCAGGGTGCAATTGAATATCCCTTTGTTCCCTTTGTTCTTCGACACTAAAAGCTAGACTAGAATTTTGAAGTATTTTATGGCCCCTGCTAGCGTTTGGCGAAAAAAGGGCGATGCCCAGCCGCCGCCGCCGTACACGTCCTCCGTCAGCGAGGACGGCACCAGCGCCGCTCGGGGACCCCACCCCCGGGGCGGTCATCTTGCGGCTCCGTCCGCCCGTGCGGCCTCGTCCGCCCTTGCGGCCTCGTCCGCCATGTCTGGGAGTCTGAGAAGACCTTCCCAGGAATCTGATGTGTGCAGGAGAACGGAACCCCAATCAGATGGAGGCGGCTATGCAAAAGGAACAACTTTGGCAGGGGATCGTAGGAGCAATCTTGATCCAGCAGGCACACAGTTCGATCCAGGCGGCTCTGCCAGAAATCCTAACACTACGACACCGCAACTAGTGCACAATACTGCAACATCAGAAGCATTGGCTTGTTTGGTGTGGAACTGTAGGGGGATTGGGGGATCCAGGACAGTCCGTGATCTTGTATCACTCAATCAAGTGCATCATCCTCAGTTCATATTCCTGTGTGAAACGAGACAAAGAAAAGAGAGAGTCGGACGTTTATGTAGCCGGCTAGGCTTGAGAGGCTATGCCGGAGTTAGCAGTGAAGGCTTCAGCGGAGGGCTAGCACTCTTCTGGGATGACAAGTTGCATGTCGAAATACAAGATCTCAATGAACGTTATATTGATGTGCATGTTGGCTTTGCTCCGGGTACTATTTCATGGAGATTGACGTGTGTATATGGTGAGCCAAAGGTGGAAAATAGACACCTCATGTGGGACACTCTCCGTCAACTGAAAGCTAAATCTGCTCTTCCGTGGACAGTTATGGGGGATTTTAATGAAGCCTTGTGGCAGTTCGAACACTTCTCGTTTTCCCGTCGCGCGGAATGGCAAATGGAGGCATTCAAAGATGCATTGGATAGCTGTGATTTGGTCGACCTAGGCTTCAGAGGCGTACCTTTTACTTATGACAATAAAAGGGGAGGGAGAAAGAATGTAAAGGTCAGACTTGATCGCGTTGTGGCAGACAATAACTGGAGGGATATTTTTGCAGAGGCATCAGTTGAGCACATAGTGTCCTCATGCTCGGACCACTGTGTGCTGCTTGTTCGTCTCCAAGCTAAGCAATTAGTCCAAAACAAAAGGAGATGCAGACAGTACGAGCTGTTCTGGGAAAGGGCGTCTGATCTGCCCGAAATTATTGAACATGCATGGGCAGCAACGGGTGACAAGAGCGATCTGGGCGCTATCCAGGGCTGCTTAGGTAGTGTGATGAAGTCATTGCAAGCTTGGAGCTGCCGCAAGTTTGGAAACATTCTTCGGAAACTCGAAGATGTCCGGTCTGAACTAAATAATCTGCTGTTGCATGGGGCGGACAGTAAGGAGGTACGACAAGTTTCAGACAAATTGAATGAGCTCCTATATAAAGAGGAAATGCTATGGTTGCAACGTTCTAGAGTTAGTTGGCTGAAAGAGGGGGATCGAAATACAAAGTTTTTCCATCGAAAAGCTGTGTGGCGTGCAAGAAAGAACAAAATTACCAAACTTCAAAAGGCCGATGGGAGTTGGGAATCCTCACAGACCGGGCTGGAATTGATGTCCACACAATTCTTTCAGAACCTCTTCACGCGAGATCCTAGCTTGAACCTAAGTGACATCGTCGATTTGTTTGAGAAAAAGGTCTCTGAGGATATGAATGAAACCCTGTGCAAAGAGTTTTCTGACATGGAAATATCGGATGCCCTGTTCCAAATTGGGCCGTTGAAGGCTCCGGGTACGGATGGGTTCCCGGCTAGATTCTATCAGAGGAACTGGGGAACAATAAAGGAGGAAGTCATTGCATGTGTCAAGTTATTTTTTGCTACGGGTAACATGCCAGCTAATATCAATCATACTGCAATTGTCCTCATTCCTAAAGTGGATCAACCATCAAATCTGCGAGAGTTCCGACCTATTAGCTTGTGCACAGTGCTCTACAAGGTGATTGCAAAATGTTTAGCAAATAGATTAAGGCCCTTCCTAAGTGATATAATCTCAGTAAACCAAAGCGCGTTTGTCCCTGGGAGACTTATCACTGATAATGCACTCGTGGCCTTCGAATGCTTTCATTTTATTGAGCATAATACAAATCCGGGGAAGAATTTCTGTGCGTACAAAATTGATCTGTCAAAGGCATATGACCGTGTGGACTGGGGTTTTCTTGAGAATGCGATGAAAGGCTTGGGTTTCTCTCACCGGTGGATCAGCTGGATCATGTCATGTGTGACCACGGTGAGCTATTCTGTAAAATTAAATGGAACCTTGCTGGATTCGTTTACTCTGTCCCGTGGTCTCCGTCAAGGCGACCCCTTGTCGCCATTCCTATTTTTGTTTGTTGCAGATGGCCTTTCAGCTTTGCTTCAAAAGGAGATCAACAACAAACAAATTGAGCCCCTGAGGATATGTCGTCGGGCCCCTGGTATTTCCCACATGTTATTTGCGGACGACACCATGCTATTTTTCAAAGCAGAGACTGAGCAAGCTCGAAGGGTGCAGCAGGTGATTAATACATACACACAAGGTACAGCCCAGCTGGTCAATGTTGATAAATGCTCTTTGATGTTTGGCAAGTCTTGCCCGGCTGAGGTACAAGAGGAAGTAAAAGCTATGCTACAGGTCACACAAGTAGAGTTTGAGCCCAAATATTTGGGTCTCCCTACCCCAGAGGGTCGTATGACCAAAGGAAAATTCCAAAGTATCCAAGAGAAGCTATTGAAGAGAATGGTTCAATGGGGAGAGTACTCTAGCGGCGGCAAAGAAATCCTTATTAAGGCAGTAGCACAATCCTTGCCAACTTTTCTGATGGGGGTTTTCAAACTTCCTGATGGGTTGTGTGAAGATCTTATGAAAATGATAAGAGAGTTTTGGTGGGGTGCTAGCAAGAATCAGCGACGCACACACTGGATCTCATGGGATTGTATGATCAGACCAAAAAACCGTGGGGGAATGGGATTCCGAGACTTGCAACTTTTCAATCAAGCTTTGCTTGCTAAGCAGGCATGGAGGTTAATTGAATACCCCAATAGCCTTTGTGCTCAAGTACTCAAGGCTAAATACTATCCTAATGGGTTGTTGGTAGACACGGTATTCACAGGCAACGCTTCGTCAACCTGGAAAGCCATTGAGTATGGTCTCGAACTGCTCAAGAAAGGGATTATTTGGCGCATTGGCAATGGAGCAAATGTCCGGATATGGAGAGACCCATGGATTCCCCGTGGTCCTTCCTGTCGACTCATCACTCCTAGAGGTCGGTGCCGCCTCAGACGGGTTGCCGAATTGCTACATACTGACGGAACATGGAAATTGGGACTACTACAACAATTTTTTCACCAAGCTGACATGGAGGAAATTGTGAAAATCAAACCGTCGCAGCGGCTCGTCTCAGACTGTGTAGCATGGTTCCCGGACAAACGTGGCTCCTTTTCTGTGAAGAGTGCGTACTCCCTTGCCTTACAGGAGAAAATAAGTGCAAGTGGCCTTGGTGCCTCCAGTGTCCGTCCGGATGGCCGACGACCTGCGTGGGATTTAATCTGGAGGAATCCAGCTCCACCTAAGGTACACATCTTTGCATGGAAATTGGCACATGAAGCCCTGGCTACTGAAGCGACCAAAAAATCTAAACACATGCAGAATGAGCAAGCATGCACCATCTGTGGACATGTTACAGAGGACGCCCATCACGCCCTTGTCCGCTGCCCCCATGCTGCTGGACTATGGAACTCCATGAGAGAAATCTGGGACATTCTAGGCGAGGAAGAAATGCATGATACGGAGTCGGACTGGATCTTTCGTCTCCTTGAGAAACTGAACGAGACACAGCGAATGATGGTTTTGATGATTCTCTGGCGAGCGTGGCATGTGAGAAATGAAGTTACACACGAGAAACCGGCGGTTCCAATCGAGGTCTCTCGACGGTTCCTCGCTAGCTATGCCATGTCCCTGTTGTCGCTACAACAGCACCCAGACGCAGACCCCATCAAAGGTAAACAGGTGGTCGACTACTTCGGCGAGCCTGTGCGGAAGCAGAACCCCATATGTCATGTGGAACATTGGACACCTCCGGTGGCTGGCTGTGTGAAACTCAATGTCGACGGTTCCTTCCAGCCAACTGACGGCACGGCTAGAGCGGGGATGATCCTACGTGACCACCTGGGGGCTGTAATGCTGGCAGCGATACGAGGGCTTGGGAATTGTGCGGACGCCCTGGAAGCCGAGTTGGCAGCAATCCATGAAGGAATTACTCTGTCTCTTAATTGGACTGAACTAGATATCCTTGTGGAGACTGACAGCGCTGATGCGGTGCAACTAATTTCGGCAGCCGGAAAAGACCGTTCAGCACACACTCACAAAGTAATGGAGATCAGATCAATACTGTCTCAAGAAAGAAGGATTCAAATTATGAAGATCAAGCGGAATGTTAATGTAGCTAGTCACACTCTCGCTCATATGGGACGTACACAACAGCGTACTGCTTGCTGGTTGCGTTCTCCCCCGGACGAGATTGCGAGCATTGTTGCCGCTGATTGTAATTACATTTCCTGATGAATGAAATCCTTTTTCCCGCAAAAAAAAAAGAATTTTGAAGTATTTTGCATAGTTAATCTTCAAAAGAAAAAAGAACAACCAGTCACACTCACACATGAAAGTGGCGTTGCCTACTTCTATATGCTCCTACCTATGCTACCTTTTCACATGGTAACTATTCATTGGCTTGTCCTTCTCATTTGTTGTTCAAAAGCAATTCCTCGTGTCGTAATTGGTTGACAGGGATAGCTTGTGTTACAAATTATGTTGGCAGATGCTTCGCCATCTACAATATTTGGTACGTAATGCCAATGAGCAGGAAAGCACTGAAGCATCAATGCCATTCGGTAGAATTAGTCGAGTCCGTACCTGCTCAAAAGTTTCCATCCGATAGAGAAAAGAACGGATGGAATGTGGAGATCTTTCTTTGCTTCGAAAGCAAGACTACAACTTTGGTGAAGTGGTGGTACGTGCTGATCCTATTATTCTCCACTTCAATTTTGAGAATTAAAATATTTGGATGGAGAAACACCAAGTAGGCAATTACCAAGCTCATGGACAAGTAACAGAAATTCGGATGGTTTCGAGCATCTCCGCGTAGACGCACACACCTTGACATGACTTCACGGGATAAATGTCGACTTTCCAAAATGCACCCACGGACTTCCTCCTGCCTCTTTTGGTAGCATGGCAAAAGGCTTTTAGAATTGTCGCATGATTTGTTTTCTTGAGAAGGAAGTGATACAGCTTCTTTTTTTAAATCCTCCACTACGAAACATGTGCGAAGAGGGGAGTAGTAGCAAATGGCAGAGTAGCGCGCAACATATCATCGTGGAATCTTCGCACAATATTTGTATGGGCTCTCATCATAAACTTGTAGGGTTGGCTCTTATTTTTTGTGGGGTATCTGGAAGTACGGGAACCAATGCATGCTTTGAGAGCAAGCTCATTAAGTCACTAAGCGAACTAATATGTTACCTTTGCGCTCATTTTTGAATTATTGAGCAAGTCCACCGAAGCAGCATGACAAATAATATACTCCCTCGGTTTTACAATGTAGTGCATATGATTTTTTTTTAAGTCAAACCTCACAAACTTTAATTTGACCAAGTTTATAGAGAAAAACAACTACATCTAGAATTGCAAATATATATCGTTAGATTCATCATAAGATGTACTCCCTCCGTCTCAAAATAAGTGCCTCAAGCTTAGTACGGAGGGAGTAGTTTCATATTTTATATGTTTGGTATTGTAGATACAAATATTTTTCACTATAAATTTTGTCAAAGTTTACAAATGTTGACTTTTTAAAAAATCTATACGCACTACATTATGAAATAAGGGAGTATCCAGTTAGATGCGTCTATACTTCAACATGAGGCACTAAAACATTATCATGCCGGCGATCAGGTGTCGACAACTGGGGACCAACTGGTTGTGAGCACCGAACCTTTGCTTTGCGGAAGTGGATGAAGCAACGGACAAAGCGGTGGACATCAGGAGGCCGTGCAAGAAGCAAGCAAGAACAAAAATCAAAGAAAGGTGGTTCTTTTTTTTTCTGCGGCACTGTCTTTTGTGTGTAAGTTGAGCAGCCAAAACTGTTGAAGATAATTTCGTATTTTTTTGGTTTCTATGCTCACTTTCTTGCTATTACTGGTACTATCAGAGAACAGAGATAGGATCAACATAAGATGTTTATATTGGCAAATACTACATTTCTGCGTCTGGATGATGTTAGGCAGTGTAGTGCGTTTCTTTTCTAGTATTAATAATATAAAAAGTGAAATAATACTCCACGTGTTGCTGTGGGAATTGAATAACTTTATTTGAGCGAGATTTGGATGTATGAAACAAAAATTTCTGGATTGATAATATGAGAACTGAAACTAAACATACATATTTTTTTTATTTAGTTAACAATATTTACTGAATACAAGTAGGATAATATACTGATCTTTTTCTCATGCATGGTTGCATCTTGGATATTTGCCTATGCATGGTTACATGCTGTGGCGGAACCTTCTCCCATGCATGTATGTTCACATGCTGAAATGAAATGTTTGCATGTTCAAAGACTTATGTAAGTGGGGATCACATACTTAGTCATACAGGGTTGTAATACACACATAAGCGGACCACAAAGAAAGTTCAATATACAATCAAGTCCATCTTACACAAAGGCCCCCACCCCCCAAAAAGGAAATCAATCTGATCCATGAGTGAAATTCCAACTTCATCGGAGACGCTCTAGCCACGGTCTATGCCTACCACCTCGCTGATACCCACCAATGGATCAAAGGCCACAATGTGGAGGTTGAAGATGAAGGAAAAGGGAGACAAGAACCATCGGCCAATAGTAATTCTAAACCGCACACTGGAGATGATTTGTTTAAGGATCCAACCCTCCAGTTGTCGAGGTCAACAATGCCCAGACTGAACATGGAGAATAATCCAAGCCATCTCTATAACTCCTAGGAGCGCCAGATCTAAGGAGGGTGATGCGAGATCCACCCCCACCTTTCTTGTCGTCTCACAACGAGCAAGGAGGAGGAAACGATAGCCATGCCTGGCTGCCAGATCTAGCTCTTCGAGCAGCTTATTGACATAACCCTAGAAAACTCCATGTCCGCACCATAAGTAGCTTGATTCTACCATGGAAGGCTATATAGAGAGAGAAGATGGTAGGCCACCACAAGCTGCCTCAATGTTTTGCACCGAACACCACCATGTCATTAGGACATGTGCATTTAAGGCAACTAGTAACCTAGGCCTACTATGTACTATAGCGGCCCGAACTCCGCTTCGGTCCCCACTCCGACCAGCGACGATGTCACAGGATGAGTAGGTCGAAGGGGTAATGGAGAC